TCAAACTCACGTAGTCGTGTAAGGGCTTATGGGGAATTGTCATCTGAATTGGTAACAACCAGTGGTGTCCGACAGGGATGTCCACTTTCCCCATTTCTGTTTAACTTCATCATAGATATGCTGATGGAAGTATCCTTAACTGAACGTGATGACTTAGGAATCGACTTGTTACCAGGGAATAGTCTAATGGACTTAGAATATGCAGATGACATAGTCCTGTTAGGGGAGGATGCTGACAAAATGCAGAGTCTTCTGAACACCTTGAGCAGCAATCTTCGTATGTTTGGCATGCGATTCGCCCCTGTAAAATGTAAGATGCTGCTACAGGACTGGACTACGTCAACACCTAACTTAGTGATAGGGAGTGAAGTGATAGAACATGTTGACCACTTCACCTATTTGGGAAGTTGTATTAGCACCAACGGACTGATTGGCGATGAAATCTCAGCACGGATCCGAAAAGCTCGAGCTGCTTTCGCTGACTTACACCATCTCTGGCGTAGGCGTGACATCCGGTTATCAACCAAGGGACGTGTGTACTGCTCATCAGTTCGCTCCGTCCTTCTCTATGGCTCTGAAACATGGCCAATACGCGTTGAAGACATGAAAAGGTTGACTGCTTTCGATCATAGATGTCTGCGATCTCTGTCTCACGTTAGGTGGTTTAATAAGGTAAGTAATGTTGACGTTAGGCGTAGAGTGTTGGGCAAAGAGGGAAAATCAATCGACGAGGCTATAAAGTTACATAGACTAAGATGGCTAGGTCACGTGCTGCGCATGCCTAACCACCGCCTCCCCCGACGGGCATTGCTAGCTGATATAGGTTCAGGTTGGAAAAGAGCCAGTGGTGGCCAAACAAAAACATGGCCTCATCAATCCATGAAATCCTTGACAGTTAAACTGAGTCAGGTAGGGGGAGATGCAGACTTCCGGGTTGGGGCCCTCGGGACTCTAGGAATCAATGGCTGGAGACAATAGGTGACATGGCTCAAAATCGTTGTCAATGGCCAGCGCAGATGTATTCAGTCTCTGTAATCTTTCATATTCCTTTCTACCATTACCCATTCTGTTTCACTCTTATACTTGTCAGACTGTATTGATTCTCTTCACTCATCTTCTTGTCTACCTCTGTGTGCTATTTGGAACGTGGCAACTCGAACTGGTGCACTTCGGTGCCAAGTTCTATGTTGAATCCAGACAGACAGACAGACATGCGTAACACATGTCCTAACCATCTCAGTCTTTGTAACTTCACAACCTCCTCAACTGATTTCCCCCACCACCTACCTAGCACTCGACTGTGGCCTAACCTCAATATTGCTCACCCTATTATACTATTTGACACGGGAGATAGAACACAGGCACCTATGACCGAAGACAGCTAGCCGGGCTTTTCATGTCTATCACTCTCAATGGCCAGGTCTCACAGAGAGCCATAAAGGAAGACGGAGCGGACTGATGAGCAATACACGCATCTTTTGGTTGACAGCCAGCCAGCTGGATATCACGTCTACTAAGCCAAAGATGGCGTAAACTCGCATATGTGAAACTAGCCCTCTGTATCAGGGGTCCTGAGATTTCGCCAATGTTCAATATTTCAATTAGTCAGTTCAAAAGAGGTCACTTAACTTCACTTATCATGAGACCAGCTAACGAAGACTGCAGAGAAGAGAACATAGTGGAGATCTGCTGTTGAATCTCTATGTTCCACTCGGAACCCAAAGGGACAATAATAATAATATTTCTTTAAAAGCGAGAAGAACTACACAGAAGTTCCAACTCATTCAAAAACAGTGGGCTGCTCAAATTTTATATCCATTGAAACGTATTGCATTTATCCTACTTCAAATTGTTCTAGCCATCATTTTACGTCTATGAATCGCAACCTCTACTCTCGCAGTAAGGGGAAGAACATTATGAAGTAGTGTTGAATGGAGAATGGAAAAATATTCCTTCCTCTGATTATTATTATTATTGTATTATTGTATCCTTTAGTTCCTAGAGGAACATAGGGCTTCAGCTGCGCACCTCCATTGCCTTCGGTTTTCTGACAACTTTTTCACCCTGCTCCAGGTCTGTCCACATGCTTTCATCTCCTCCTCGCATGACCTCCTCCAAGTCACCCTTGCACTGACGACCAACTCGCCGCCTCCCTTTCGGGTTCCACTCGAGCGATGGCTTGTCTAGTGATGTCACTTGATGGTTTCCTCAGCGTATGGCCAATCCATCTCCATTTCTTCCTGCCTATTTGTTTCACAATCGGTTACTGCCTTGTTGGTTCGCTCCCAGAGATCCCTGTTGGTGATCTTTTCTGGCCATCTGATCTTGAGTTTCGAGTGAAACAAAGGGCTCCAACAATACACATCTGCACTTTGTTCTTTTTTATATCTGACCTTCTATTCAGCTGGCTAACTCCACTCCACGATTGCCCACAATCTCTCATCTCCTCAATGCGCCACACAATCTCTTCCATATCACCGTCGTAACTGACGATCCATTTGTCACTTCCTATTCGGATCTCACTCGAGTGATGGTCTGCATTGTGCATAATGTCATTCTACGGTTCTCTCTCTCTACTTTTTTCCCACATATTTGTTGAGCGATCGGCTCTTGCCAGTTTGGTTCGTCCTCAGCCAGAGTTTCTTGTTGCTTATTCTTTTTGGCCAGTTAACCTTCAGTATGGAGCCAACCAGCGAAGGTGGCGGCAGCTGTTGGTGATGGTATGGAGTAGCCTGTTGGAAATCTCATTCCTGTCAAGCACTGCAAGAGTTTTTGATCCGTATAGAAAAACCACCAACTTCACACACGAGTGTTGTGAAATGCGAATCTTGTTCTTTCTTCTGAGTGCGGAAGATTTCCAAACCGGTTTCAGGATGATGATGAAGGTGTATCTTGATTTTACTGATTCTGACTGACTTCGACATCTTCATCCGTTCTGCCTATACTTGAAACGATGCTTTATGGTATTCCGATAATATGATGCTATAAATATTATTGATTATTATATTGTCTGTCTGTCTGTCTGTCTGTTTTCGACATAGAACAACTTTGCACAAATGTGCGGAAGTTCAAGTCGCCACACTCCACTCCTTGTAGCACGCGAAGCAAGAGAAGAAAGTACAAGAAAAGCATAATAGAAACAGTGAGCAGAGGTGTGAGACAAAGGAGGAGTAATAACGAAGAACAAAACAGTTTCATTGGAGATCATAAGTCACAAGGAGTGGATGCATCTGCGCTAGCCACTGAGAACGATTTTGAGCCATGTCACCAATTGTTTCCAACCAATGGTTTTTACCGTCCCGAGGACCCCAAACAGTCAGGAAGTCTACACCTTCCTACGTGGCTTAGACTAACTGTTGTAGATTTCACTGAGTGGGACCATGATTTTGTTTGACCTCCACTAGCTCTTTTCTAGCCTGACCCTATATCCGCTAACATTGCTCGTTGAGGAGGGCGATGACTAGGCATACATGCGTAACACATGTCCTAACCATCTCAGTCTTTGTAACTTCACGACTTCGTCGATTGATTTTCCCTGTTTACCTAGAACTCTACGCCTAACCTCAATGTTGCTCACCTTATTATGCCACTTTACACGGGGAATAGAACGCAGGCACCTATGATCAAAGACAGCTAGTCTTTTCATGTCTTCCACTCTCAGTGGCCAGGTCTCACAACCATAAAGGAGGACGGATCGGACTGATGAGCGGTACACCCGCCCTTTGGTCGATAGTCGAACATCTCGTCTACGCCAGAGTCGGCATAAACTAACAAATGCGAAACGAGCCCCTTGTATTCGTGCTGAGATTTCGTCAGAGATCAATTCTTGATATTGATATGATTATGAACAATAAATTGTGTTCGAAACGTCATCCAGTATACAATACTGTTTCACTGTGTGATACATTTAATAATCAAACTAATATGGAATTACTTACTATCACAGTGCCCAAGTTTTACACATATATTAATTATTATTAATATTATTATTATAATTAACAATAAACCTTTAACAATGAGACTAATGACGATTTAATATTCGAGACGTATACCGAGCATATCCCCGATTAATTACTCGACCAGAATGCAATATAGTCAACATTTTCGACTTTCTATCGATTTATGATACATAACAGAATCAACATTTGTTAACGTAAGTGAATGATTTGATGATATTCACGGGAATCTGTGAACTGACAGAAGAAACGTATAAAGCCCATAATACTATGCTAAGTATTTTTACGAATAAATCATATTTTCATACTAAGAATCAATATAAAGTAGTAGACACAATACTGTATGATTCCCAGAATGACACCGAAACGTTCGCCATTAACGTGTAGAGAGAGTTGCTTACACTATAAAACCAGAAATACTCCAAAACAAAAGTCTAACAAGCTAATAAACCGATGGGAAAATCAATGAGATGCTCACTAGCGACTAGCCCTATTCAGGTAGGTAGTTACCTTGGGTTTCTAGTGGGACGTCGTAACCAGTAGGGTGCAGCAGGTCGGGTGGGTGTGAGGAAAAATAATCTCCGAAGACATTTGCTAACGGTCACACTATGTCGTGAATTGGCAGAAGTTGGAATTCATGGGTCGGCCAGTGGAATGGCGGGTCCTACTGGCCTAGTTTCCTACGAGACAGTTGACCTTGTAACAAGAGGGTCCTAGGTTCGAGCTCCGGTGGGTGGGTACTGTTGAAGAGTCCCAAACTAGAACGAAACAGCTGTCCACGGTTTTCTGACCTGTCTTCCAATGGTTCTCTTACTGATGTCAGCTCATGACGAAATCCTGTAACTAATAGAGGGAAAATATACTACTGAGTACGGAGAGAGAGAGGCAAAACGGGAGAGGAGAATTACCAATTATTGACAGAACATAATGCAGAAGTAAACAGGCAATACAGAGAAGGATACTTGACCTCTTGTAGAAGGAGGCTATATTAAAGAACAATTTTTCTTTTTTTCTGGGGGGGGGGGACGGGAAAATAACGCTTACCTAAATGTTTATAAAGTTGACCAAGAATTTTAGCTGGATATATATTGATACCAGCTTCATCGGAAATTTCTTCAAATGTTTGTACATCAACTTGATATTCCATCAGCTGATGTTTAATATCATTATCCTCAGCAACGAGTGCAACTTGTACTGAGAGATCAGGTTTTGGTTCAGCAACCTAAAATATACACACAAGAAGGAAAAACAAGGATGATAATAATACTAAATATACGCACTCATGACTTTTGAGAAGTACCATCAGGTTGATCTCTGACGAAATCTCAGAACGGATACAGAGGGCTGGTTTCGCATATGCCAGTTTACCCTGTCTCTGATGTTGACGTGATATCCAGCTAGCTTTCGACCAAAATGGCAGGTGTACTGCTCAGCATCATTCCGCTCCGTCCTCCTTTATGGCGCGCTGTGAGACATGCCTATTGGAAGTTGAAGACATGAGAAGCCTGGCGAGCTGTCTTTGATCATAGGTGCTTGTGCTCTACCTCCCGTGTTAGGGGGGATCGTGGTATAAAAGGGTGAGCAATACTGAGGTTATGCATCGGTCGAGTGCTAGGTAGGTGGTAGGGAAAATCAATATACGAGGCTGTGAAGCCACATCGACTGAAATGGTAAGGATATGTGTTACGTATGTGTAATCACCGCCTTACTCACCCGACCGGCAACGTTAGCTGACATAGGGTCAGATTGAGAAACAAACAGTGGTGGTTGAACCAAAACATGCATCCTATCCTTGTGACTTATGATTTCCAATAAAACTATATTGTTCTTCGTTATTACTACTCTTTTGTTTCACATCTCTGTTTACTGTCTCTATTATGCATTTCTTCTACTTTCTTCTCTTACTTTGTGTGCTACATGAAGTGGAGTGTGGCGACTCGAACTGCCGCACATCGGTGCAAAGTTGTTCTATGTCGAAAACAGACAGACTCATGACTCCAAAAAGGATCGAAACTAGAATCCTTAGGATATAAATTGAATCTGTTGACCTTTTAGCAAGTGGAACTGGTTCCTCAACAGGGAATCAAACCAGGGCGCCTTCTACGTGACAAGCAGAGATGACTAAGTGATAGAGCGTCTGCCAATCGCACATTTGATTCGGGTAAGAAACCCGCATGCTGACAACACTCCTAAGCCTCATATTTTAGGAGTGCATCAGTTAGGACCTAGCAGTATGGCTGGCTGGCTGGCAAACATTCCACCATTCAAAACACCGACGATACATACACCAGTGAGTGATCATTGAAGGTAGAATGAAAATCTCAGTCACGAAAGGAAATGATGACTTAGTTAGCAGTTGGATCCTGAAGGTCAGCTGCCAGAGTCTAGGACTAGTGATTCGGAGGCTAATTGCTCGACTCAAATTTTTACCTCGTCCTCAATCATCAGTGATCACATAGACAACAGTTGTGGTTTATTGGGTAATAGTATGGATGGTTCAGAGGTAAACTGCTCGCCAACCACGCCATATGTGGGGGGTTCGGGGACCAGTCCTTAATCGACGCACTACTAAACCTCCCTGAACCTGTAATAAGTCTAGTAAAGAGTAAAGGCTGGGCAACTTCAAAACTCTCTAGGCTTGAAGCCGCCCTAAGTTCGCCTGGAAACGTAAAGGAATAGAAAAAAAAAGAAATTTAGTGGGTAATCCCCTGAGTGTTTGAAACGATGATAGAGGAAGTTTCGAGTTTCACTGGGAACACCATCATTTACTAGGAATGCAGGTGGTGCATCCAGCCGACGAGTCCCGAATAGGATGAATTGTCCACTTTAGATTCGACCGCTAGTCACTATAAACCATAATAGCATCAGATTTAACTTAGTTAATATGATAATAGAGAAAACAAATAATCAAATGTCAAATGAAATCGAGAACATGAGGTCATTAAAAGAAGATGACAACTTACTCTAAAACCCTAACAGAAAGACGATGAAAATTTAAAAAAAAAACAGAACACAAGATATTCATAATCCTGTGGGAAGAATACATTTAAACGACAACGAATTTGTTCAACGCTTTAATGATTGTTAACACAATTCTTAATCCAAATTAAACGTTAGTAATGGAAGCTCTTCTTAACACACACACACATACTTTATAGATAAACATGCATAAACCTGAAAATCAACAAAGAACAAGCCATCTCACTGTGCTGAAGAAGATGCTATACATGCATGTGGCGTTCGAAGGCAACCTTCTGGCTGACATCTTAACGAGAGAAGGAAAACTAACGTCCTGAAAAGAACTTTCTCTGCTGCTGCTGCTGCTGGTATTCTCAAACCGCCCATTGTTATCAACAACTCCAAAGATGAACTATCGCATTTGACCACTTCTATGTGTATCTACCAATTGCCTCCAAAACCTCAGGATGGTCAGGGGTGGGTGTCTTGCGCTGCGGGTTAGCCACCCCTCCGTACACCTCTTGAAATGCTCCCATGTGACCGGGCGTCTTACATAGCCTCTCCTGGGGAAGTCCTACTCACTGCCTTCACGTGGCGGAGGTGTTTTTTACCGAAGTGAGAGAGCAAAAGCGGATGCCCGGCGCTCTTCACCGGGTTGACTGTCCATTGGATGACAGTCTACGGGAGATGGCTAAACCCTGATTCCAAACCTCCAACGACTGGCGTATGAAGCTCACTGGAGCTCACCGGCAGACGTATGGACAAAGGGCTTGTTGGATGTCCTGGATGTCTGGCCCCATTCAAAAAGGCGTATGAACCGAACTCCGGTCACCGGCTTGCTGCCAATGGATAGTGGACTCCCTACTCCACTCCAACTGCCTTGTAGATCACACTTGGTTGTGTAAAGGCTAGAGCTGTACTCTCAAACAAAAGGCCGAGCGATGCTGGAGACATCACTCGTACCCAATTCCCATGAAACTTCATCAACTCTCTTACAAACATTCGAGATGTTCATGAAGCCGGTTCATCCTCCCGTAGGAGATAGCCGAAGTAAAGTAAGTAAGTATCTACCAATTCACTTGCTCATGTGAGGCGGGCGACATTACATAGGTCGTTCGATACGTACTTTATGCAAAAGAGTCAAAGGGCATTTTAACCGGCTTGGCTGAGAAAAGGTAACAGTGGATCAATAAAAATTGTGCGATAATTGAACATATATATATATATATATATATTCAACACTGGTCATCACTCAACAAAGTCATCTACAAAGGTCAAAAGAAGCCACTTTTTGAAAACGATAAGCTTCTGTATACTTTGCATTTGCCAAGGAGGCCTTAGTGATCCGATAGATAGAAAACCCTGATGATTTATGTACACAGAAGAAACTTCCTCACCCCCCCTCCTTCTACCTTCTGTATAAATCCAAGTTCTACGACTTTGCTATTAATGCTTCTTTTTGGATTTTTGTAGGATATCTTAGTAACATCATTTCCTTAACCAAACCTTTATTTAATCTTTCTGCCTATTGCATAATTTATTTTTGACACTTGTTTTCATGCAGCTTCGCTAACAACCTATTTTTCTGGGTGTCTTTCATATTGCGCGGCCCTTGTCAGTACTTACCAATGTTCACTCCGTGGTTACAATTCAATTTGAAACATTTTGATGACGTAAACAAGCTGGGGGCTCTAAGTTTCGGTAGCTGTGGTGTTTATTTATTTTTATGGAATGAAACTGCTAGCCTCATACCCAACCTTCCCTAATTACCAGTCCTATTACTGGCTTAGTGAGGTTAAGGATTGCGCCGGCCAGGTTTCGAACTTCGGACCACATGAGTCGTGGTGGGCGACCATTCTACCGCTGTGCCACCGACGCGCTTGTCCTTAAATAACGCAATATTATCTCACTGACTCTTCGAGTACCTGAAACAGAAAGAGGGTTGGTATTGCGTGACCGCCGAGGTCAGCTGGTCACACACGGCCTGTATGAACTGGTTTCTGGAATCGGTTTTGTTTAGTAAACTTACCGCCAGTTACGGACCACCGTAGGGTAAGCCGAGATGTACAATTGTTGGGGCCAATCTTATCTAATCCCCTTTCTCTAGAGTGGAGAGACAGCATAGCTGTCTGACATGCTGGTCATCTGAGGGAAACGCCTTACTGCTGTTACATCCCTGTCCCCCAGTAGTACAACTTCACCCACAGACCCCTCAGCATAATGTAAAAAAAAGAAGAAATTCATACAATAATCCAGTAACTGCTTTTAGTGTAATAGCTATCCTAACAACCTTCCCGGCACGGTAGGACCTGCAGGAACAATAGTTCCAGCCAGTGTAGCTTGTTGGGTCATTGCGATGTACAAGCCCGGTGACCACCACGGTGTCAAGGTAGCAGCTATCGGTCGATCTCTCTATCATCTATGTCGACTGTCTCTATTTTGTATTTCTTCTACTTTCTTAACTTGCTTTGTGTGCTACATAGAGTGGAGTGTGACGACTTGAACTGCTGGGGACACCGGTGCAAAGTTCTATGTTGAGAACAGACACACAGACAGACAATATTATCTCGGAGAACACTCCCACGTTGATGAATGTAATACTGTCTAAACTGAAGGAACGAATTCATTAAAATAGTATTCAATAAACAGAAGCAACATATATATTAACATCTTTCAACGAATTCATGGTTCCATTTCCTTAGTTTAGAGTATTCACCATGTTCGAATCATTCGATTCATATTGATAGAGGAGATCCAGCGAAATGTATAAAATTTATTATTATTATTGTTTCTTATTTGGCGATGTCTAGTGGAAGAATTTATAAGGCGCCTTGATCTCTATCTAGGACGTGTCAGTTAGATTTGCCTGAATACTCGTGGTGTGATGAAGTTCCTGGTGTAAATCGAACAACTTGCTTTCCTTTGGTACAATCAAAAATCGATAAATATCCCTTTTCATGTTAACAACTCCAACTGTATATACAAATTTACATGTATTTGCGGCAGCAGTTACATTGGAAGGACAGAAAGAAGAAGAGCATATCTACGATTTTCGGAACATATGTACCAAAAGGTTTACGTCTAAAGGGAACAAATGCTTTAAACAGTGCCATCGCCAGGCACTTCCCCCTCGACACGAGTCATGACGTGGACGTCAAAAAGTCGTTCAAAATTATCGATTGGCAAAGGAGTTCAATTCTCCTCAAGTTTGCTGAAACCATTTCCATCAAGCGCCTGAAACCTGATTTATGCTTTCAGAAAGAAGCGGTTATCAGTCTTTCTTTGCCCTGGTAACTGGATATTTTTCATCTCTCTTTCATCTGAATGCAAAATGCTGAAAAGTTTCCAATGTGTGTGATTATTATTGCTCGGAATAGTGTTTGATAGTATATATACATATATATACATGTCTTTGGCCTGTAAGCAGTTGACGAGAAGGCAACGAAATAAAAGATGGTACCAATTTATTCTGCTAAAACTGTAGTTCTTGCTTTGTTTAAATCAAAACTACCATCTATCATTTTAAATGACAAAGTATTATCTACTGAACTAATGAGCCATGGTCGCGGATTCGTTGACAGTTTTTGAGAGCCTCAGCAGCACATCTTTTCCTCATCAAATGACCTCCTATATGTCGTCACCACCTTCAGAAGTCGAACTCGCCGTTTTCTATTCACTCTACCATTTCATCAGCATAGTTCCAATCTATCTCTATTTTCTTCTGTATATTAATTGGGCGATAGATTGTTATAGGTGGTTTCCTGTCAAGGTTGCTTGTTGTTTATTCTTTTTCTACTTCGGCCAATCTGATCTAAGGTATCGAGCCAGTTGACGGAGAGCTGTTGACAGAAGTCCCTTGCCTACCGGAAATGCTGTTCATGACACGAGCAGCAAACCTTTGAATTCATTCTTAGGACGTATTTTACTCTCTATGAACATGATCATTTCAACTAATCGTTTTATTATTTCGCCTAGTCGTTTATGGTCACTTAATTTCGTTCATAAAAGTGTGGATGCTTCCAAAATGTGTTTTGTGATGAAGAAGTCCGCAATACACGGATTCCCCTATGCCAATCACCATCAATCAAATATTAAAATATGGCGATCGCATCATAGAATCACTTTATTTGATAAGAAACGCGCCATTATATAGTTATATTAATTTATTAATTGGTGGATAGTGACTAGCAGTGGAATTCGAGGATAACGCGCATTTCGTCCTATTTGGGACTCGTCAGCTAGCTGGATTTACCTGCAGTCCGCAATGAGTGATGATGTTCCCACATAAGTGCTCAATCTCGATCGACGGGAAAATCTAAAATTCAATTAAATGATTGATATGACCCGTTGCACAAGAGGTGGCTCTCGTGGCCTAAGTGGTCTAGTGCGTAACGCTTTGGCGTTTGAAACTACGGACACTGGGTTCGAGCCTCGATGGGAACATCATCACTCACTGACTGGGGAATTCAGGTACATCCAGGCAGCTGATGAGTCGCAAATAAGATGAAGTACACATTATCCTGGATTCCACTGCTAGTCCCGGGCTCGAACCCTGGCAGCGGATGCGTACAGCTGAAGAGTCCCAGACTAGGACGAAACAACTGTTCACTACTCCTAGCTTGTTTTCCAGTGATTCTCTAACTAATGTCAGCTCATGATGAAATCCTGTAACCAATCAATCAAATCCCTACAAACTAACACTTGAATATCAATGAGATGCTCACTAGCGACTTGCCCTATTCAGGTAGGTAGTTTCCTGGGGTTCTAGTGAGAAGTCGTGACCAGTGGGGTGCAGCAGGTCGGGTGTGAGGACAAAGACTCGCCAGCAAAGACATTGGCTAGCGGTCGCGCTATATCGTGAATTGGCAGAAGTTAGAATTCATGGACTGGCCATTGGATTGGGTCCCAGTGGCTTAATGGTATACGAGCTCGCCTTGTAACCAGAAGGTCATGGGTTTGAACTGAAGAGTCCCAAACTAGGACGAAACAGCTGTCCAGTACTCTCAGGTTTTCCAATGGTTCTCTAACCAATGTCTGCTCATGATGAAAATCCTGTAACCAATCGAATCCGTACAAACAAATACTTCAATATTCCAAAGTGGCTGCAACAACAACAAATAAAATCGCCAGATACAATTGATCCAGGAAATAGATGTCCAACATCATCTATAGCGAAGCATATTATAGAGATGGGTCATCAGGTTAATTTCAACAGTGCCTTTAAGCCCATATATAAAACCCGAATAGGTCACCAACTTAAATTCGTTAAAGCCTTGGCCATAAAAAGGCTTTAACCTGCCTTATGTGTCCAAAAGTTATTTGTGATTACTTTAAACCTGCTTTGGTAATCCAATTTAGAGCTAATAATCAGTTTACTTCATACTATTCTTAACCCATTCTTTGCTTTGTTTTTTCTTTCTTACCCACAGCTTTGCGTCATCTCTTTACTCATTATTTGCGACCTTGACCTATACACAATCTGACCTTTATTGTAATGATTCATGCCTTCTTGTCTTCTATAAAACTGTGTATGGACAAGTATGCGAGTGTATATGTGTGTGATCAGAATATCCGAAATGTGTTGCGCAAATACTCAAATTTCACGTTTCATTCAGATATAAATACTACTATGTCTTCTTATTGTGTTGTCGAAAAAGATACTTCTCTATATGTGTAAAACTTGGGCACTGTGGTAGCAAGTAATTCCATATCAGTTAGTTTATTAGATGTATCACACAGTGAAACAGTATTATTATTATTTACTAGATGGCACAGTTTCGAACAAAATTTATTGCTATTCATAATCATATCAAAGTCGTGCGATTACAATTGGTATGATTATGCACAACAATAAATTTTGTTCGAAACGTCATCCAGTATGTAAGTAATACTGTTTCACTGTGTGATACATCTAATAAACAAACTAATATGGATGCATCCCTACAACTAAGCTTGTAAGGGGCTATACAGCATCGCATGCTCTATAAGCCAATCCAACCTAGTAGGCAAGTACCCTGCTGATATCACTATTCGCTGTGTTTATAAATTTAGGGTACTTGAGGAAGCAACTACTAATTTCAAATTAAGCAAATTATTATTATTACTTTTACGAGTTGATCACGGATTGTAGTCAGTTGGACAACCATTGAAAACCAGCCACAGGGAGTACTGGACAGCCAGTTGTTTCATCCAAGTTTGAGAATCATTCGCATTACGCACCCACCACAGTGGGGTTCGAACCCAAGAACATCCGGTTACAAGGTAAGCTAGTATACCATTCAGCCAATGGGATCCAATTCAATGGCTCATGAATTCCAGCTTCTACCAATTATTATTATTATTCTTTGGTAAAACCTGCCGGCTTTTCTGATTGGTCGGCTCAAGGTCAGTCGTGCGTTCGTATTCCATCAGGGTTGTGATAGTTTAACTTTATAAGAACGATTGAACAAAACGGTGTATACATAAGAAAAATGATTCAATTATAAAATAAAAGATCAGAACTTATTTAATAAAAAAAATTATACAATCACATACCATATGTCTTCCAAGTGGGTCGATTTCCCCTGGTAACAATAAACCTTCATAAATGATACTTGCTAGAATGTATAACGATTGACCCCATATGTGGGGTAATGCACCGACTGGAACACGTGTTTGTGTATGTGGGTGTGCGATCTCTGCTTCAATAGATTGTATAGGTACAGAATAGGATTCTGGGACAAAATAACACGTTCTATTTGGTATTTGCGGGGCTATTTCACTTGCTCGACGACTTGTACTTCGACTGCTACTTTTACTTGTTTGTGAATGTGCACACTAGAAGAGAACAAATAAAAAAAAAGAAACGGGGTAGAAGCACAAATTATCAGTCAATGGAAAATTATTGAAATATACAAAGTGTGTGTAAAAACCAACAAATTGGCGATAGAATTCATGAGTCATTGAATCAGGTCTCAGTGGCTGAATGGTTTACGAGCTTGCTTGATTGTAACCGGAAGGTCCTTGGTTCGAATCCCCCCCTGTGGTGGGTGCATACTGACGATGATTCCCGAACTAGGATGAAACAGCTGGCTGTCCAGTACTTCATGTGGCTGGTTTTCAATGGTTCTCTAACTTATATCAATTCATGGTTAACTCGTAAAAACAAAACTAATCCTTACAAACCAAATACAGAAGATAGAAGAAGCATCAAAGATAGGACTTCCTTCAGGTGAACATAGAGAAAACAGAGGTGATGATGATTCCTGGCCAACAGCAACTGCAATAACAACAACAACAGTCAGCATAAATGGGAGGAATCTGAAAAAAGCAAACTCCTCTACCTACCTACCTACTTGGGAAGCATCTTTTCAACTACAGGCAGGTGAAACTTATGAGGATGTCAAAGCAAGGAATGGGAAAGGAAGACAAGCTTTCATTTCTATCAAGTCTGTGTGGAGGAGATCAACAGCCCTCAGCGTGAAAATGAAAATTAGATCGGGATTTTCAACTCCAATGTGAAGTCAGTGCTACTCACTCTATACGGATCAAAGACTTGGCACCGCGTCACTAAGGGCACTTCGAACAAACTACACACCGACAACAGCTGTCTTCGCTCAATACTACTATGCAAGATCAGATGGCTGGCCTGAAAAGATCAGCAACAGGGATTTCTGGCAATGAACGAACCAACCCAGCAAGAACCAATTGTGCAACAAATATGCTGGAAGAAATGGAGTTAGGTGGATTGGAGTGGTCATACTCTGAGAAAACAAACTATCAAGTGAGTGATATCACACACCAGGCCATAGCTCGAATGGAACTTGAATGGGAAGCGACGAGTTAGTTGTCAGTGAAAGGGTAACATGGAGGAGAAGGTGATGTGAAGAGCAGATGAAAGCATGTGAGCAGACGTATGTAGCCAGATGAAAACACTGGTGGAGAACCGAAGGCAATGTAGATGTGCGGCTGAAGCCCTATGTTCCTTTAGGAAATAAAGCATATAATAATAATAATAATAATAATTAATTCACAGCACTTATTTTTCTACATAAAAGACTAGAGCTTCTGTAATACAATGGAGACGAAAGCCATATTGTCTTTTGCAAGTTGTCCTTCACTTTATAGACTATTTTGATGGGTGAATTTTCTTCAGATGGAATGACCAGTAGTGTTGACAATGTATTTTTATTGCATTCCGTATGGAGCCACTTTTACCTTTGTGCAACCATGTGGAATAGTAGACTTGAATTATTTTAGATAAAATACACATCAAACGACCAATACGCTTAGCTTCGAAGGAACAGATGACATGATACATGTACATTTTATTGAACACTAAGTCAATAATTCGTTGTATTTTGCCTAGTCCTATCTTTGGTGCAAACTAAATTCTATCAGTCTGTCTCTTAACATTTAATACCAAGAATTCACAGTGCACCATGATGGCAAGCAACTTAGCATGCTTGCCACATTGTAAACTTGACTGATAGACTTCAGTCTGCATCAAAGGTAGGGAGAGACCAGTTGTCTTCGCTCAAGATAAGACTACCAGAAATGACCAGCAAACAGGGAATCCTGCAAGCAAACCAATCCAGGAGGAGCCAATCGTGTAACAAAATACGCCGGAAAAAAAAGTGGAGGTGGATTGGATTAGCCATACTTTGAAAGAGAACAAACCATCAAGTGAGTGACATCACACGCCAGCCAGGCCATCACTCGAATGGTAGGTTGGTCGTCAGTGTAAGTAAGGGTGACATGGAGGAGGAGGAGGAGGTGGTGATGCGAAGAGGAGATGAAAGCATGTGAGCAGACGTATGTAGCCAGATGAAAAAGTTGGTGAAGAATCAAACACAATGAAGACGTGTGGCTGAAGCCCTATGTTCATCTAGGAACTAAAGGAAACAATAATAACAATAAGTGTGTAGAGTAGAGAAAGTTGAATGAAGCTGTTGGTTTCTATGACCCTTGCAAAATTGATGACAGCGATATATAAATCAAGTCTGAAGTTACGTATCTTGGATTAATTCTTTCTTCTGACCTATCCTGGTCTTCCCATGTCTTAGCGATTTCTAAAAGAATATTTCGTCTGACTTTTTACATTAAGAAGTAGTTAAGGCACTCAGGCATAATCCAATCAACCCTCCTGGTACAGTTTGTCAACTCGTGTATCTTACCTATTCTTCTTTACTGTTCACCCTTGCTTATTCTCTCCTCGATTGTTTTAAAAAAAGACCATGTCATTCATCGTAGAACTCTGAAGACTGTCAGACTGTAGGACGAGTGGTATCCCCATTGGGCCATATCGTTGACATCGTCAGTGATGATAAGCACTTGATGTCATGCAATAAATTTGCTAAAAGAATTTTATCAGACTGTGAGAACCCACTCTACTCGCAGCTGCAACCTTGTGTCTCCTCCTCAGGTTAAACAAGAAGTCTTTTCATCAGAAGACTTTATGCACGTACGTCGTCTAGGTATAAAAATTCCATTATACCATATTTGGTGGCACGTATTTTATGTGATGAAAATAGTGTCAGGCATCAACTAACTAACTAACCTTCTTTGCACTACTAAATAAACCATTTCCTCCATCCTTACAACATCAAACTTTATTGTTATCGTATTTCTTATATTTATAATCCTCTAAATTTTTTGTTTTTTTTGCTTATTTTTTCATAAGTGTGAACATCGTTTAAGCTGTGTTATAACTGTTAATCTTGTATTTCCCCTCACCATGCTGCTATATCAACAGAACATTAGATTCAATACTCTGTAGTGACATGCTAAAATTTCCAAACTGAATCGACAATACTGTTTGAAACAAACTCACTGTTATTACCATTATTATTATATTTAATACTCTCAATTCGTGCTTCGAATATTTTTGATTTTATATCGTAAACGTGGACAAATTCCTCTCGTTATTTTTTAAAAATTTTATTTATATTTTCAAGTTATTTATTTATTTAAACGTACAATATGGCACCAAGAAGGATGCACCACACAACAATAATAAAACAACATAGATCAAAAGAGAAAAGAAAAAATACAAACATAAGTAGAGAACGGATAAAGAACTTCATCTGGAAGGAAAACAGTCATACTTAACAAGTTCAAACAGTATTCGTTAACTATCATCGCGGGAAGGGAAGAAAGAAGGAAATTGCAACTCGTGTAATAGCACGCGATAAGTTTCATTGATTGTTTGTTGCTTTATTCAATTCATTGAATGAGGGCTGAGATACTGCCCCGGGGGCCCAGATCGAAGCAGGTGGTTTTATTAAGGGACCATACCCCCGAGCCTTTGACTCGGAGTCTAATCCGCAAGGCAGCGGAGCAGCGTCAGGAGCTGCATTCCTATGGTTTCCGATGACCCATATGGGTTAATACGCCATTTGATCCGATTGGATACCGGAGCTTATGTACCCCATGGTAACTGCTTTTGGTTTAACCACTATCCAAACAACCTTCCTGATATGGTAGGACCTGCACGGACGATTCATTTTCATGAAAAGAAAAGAAAATTCTCTTCGCTGTTTGTGCCTTTATCTTATAACTGCTTTTAGTTTAATAGCTATCCAAACAACCTTTATTTATTTATTTATTTTTTTCGATTTACAGCTTGATTCCACACAGTATTTTTGGTACAAGTATGAAATTTTCAGCATGGATATCGGTAGCTCAAATTTTGCAGACCGACCATAGATATCAGGTGTGCGTCGGCAGGGGATCGAACCTCGGACCATGTGCATGGTCGGCGAGAGTCCTAACCACTGTGCCACCGACGCACCTTCCTGACATGATAGGACCTGCAGGGACAGGTCCTAGGCAGTTTAGCATGTTGGGTCATTACGGTATTCAAGCCCGACCACCACGACAGGGTAGCAGCTATCGGTCGGGTATATTTTGAGTAAATCAGATGCGATATTGTGAGAAATGCTGAGATTTCCATTCTGTGTTATAAGTACTGTTTTTGGAATAAAGTAGATTATTATTATTATTATTTTTATTACTCGCTAACCGCATCGAAGTTATCTAAACACACTGGGCAGTAGCTTCTGCCTTTTACGGCCAAGCATACCAGTGAAAGGCCCAGATATATATATATCTGACTGTAATCCAAATAGGAAGCGATGAGTCAGCCAAGCACTGGTCCAAGGGTGACGCATGCAGCAAGCAAATCAAGTTAAAAAGAAATAGGCTGCTAATGTAAGGTCAAACAAAGAATACCAAGTATTCTCTTCAACTTATACACACACACGCAAACGCAAACACAAATACACACACACAAAGACGACAATCTAATGTCCAGCCATCATCGAAATATTTCTCATTTGTCTTTGAAATGTTAAATACTATAATAACGCATTGGAATCAATTCTTGTTTATATCATGTACGTGTGTGTGTGTGTGTGTGGGTAAGTGTGTGTACGTAAGAGCTTACATATCAAACTATGACACACACATAAATTTAGAACAACACATTTAAGCGAACAGTATTGTGCTTTCAATTGGATCTCATCAGGCTTAACTCTAATATATATAAGTTTACAAATAAAAACTCAAATATAAACCAATCATGGTGTTTTGTCTATAGGATAATACGATGGTGAATATAAATTGTGCAGTTGGTCATAATAGTGGTAATGATAATAATAATAATAATAGTAATAATAATAATAATGGTCTCGTGATTTGGCAGAAGTTAGAATTCAAGGACCATTGGATCGGGTCCCAGTGGCTCAATGGTCTACGAGCTCGCCTTGTAACCAGAAGGTCCTGGGTTCGAATCCCGGTGGGTGCGTACTGCTGAGGAGTCCCAAACTAGGACGAAA